ATTTGTGTAAGGGTAGTGGAGACTGCTAATTACTTTAATAAAGTTGTTTGTTTATATATTTTATTTGAATTCTGTATATTATTTTATTATTTTTTTCTTTACTTTCTTGTTTTATTTCTTTTTAGTCTATATTTTTTATTGAAATATATGCTTTTAGTTTATTAGATATTATAGTAGTATTGTAATAGAATAGATAACTTAGTTTTATTTTTTACTTATTTTTATTGAATTATTATTAATTTATTTTTAGCGGTAGAATTTATTATTTTATTATTTTATTATAGTATAAATATATCTATTTATAGCATGTATAATATAGATCAGACAGCCCAGAAGGTCCAAAAGATCTATAAGGCCTATGTTCTATGAAATTATAACATCGTGACATATAGATCAGGCAGCCCAGACAATCTAGACAGTCTAGATAGTCTAGAATAAAAAACACTATATAAGTAGCTGCTATTTATATAATTTTCAGTCAGTTTTTAATAAACTTATTCTTGGAATCATTTGAATTTCTGATTTGATGTTTTTTTTTTTTTTTTTTTTTTTTTTTTTTTTTTCTGCTTCAGTGAAACCTCGCTCCGACGCCTCGTAGCACAGGTTATAGCTAAGCTGCCCCTTTATCAGGTTACACTTAATATCATTTTTGACTCTGCTTTTATTGCCACATTGAGGCTAGAATCTACTCACAGGCCTAAGCCATCCGAGTACGGTTTGCCACCTCTACCAGCTTGGCCAATTGCTTAGTAAATTTTTTCAGCGAGACATCATTGGAGGATGAGGATACACCAGTATACCAAATTCGTCCAGAAGTTGAACCTGGCCTCACCTTGCCTAGTCTAATCAAGTATTACATGTGGGGGTTACAATTTATGGAGTCACCTAGTCAACTGCTACAAATACACCCCTTAGGATAGAACATCTCATGATACAAGCAACCTCCTAAGCCTCCGACCAGATCCTTGCCTTCAACGGACATGTGATACCCTGTTAGTAATTGTGTAACTAATGGTTTTAGTCGTCTGTACCTTTCTTTTCTTTACAGGAAGGAGCCCTTGAAACTTCTTCTCCCTTACGGAGATATTTCCTGGGCAATACTTGATATGAAAGTATTACCAATCATATCATACTACCTTTCGACCCATAGATTACAGAAATACTATGAGATCTGTATCCTTTATTTATATATATGCATGTTACTTTGTCGGATCAAATATTTACATATTTGTGTTATCACAGGATTACCTCCTATGCTACTTTGATAATAGAGGCATTACTAATAGTTTGTAGTACAAATGGTAAAATTTCTAAATAAATTGTAAAGTAATTACATCTTTTAAGAAAACTATATTACAAAGCCAATTAAGAAGGACACACGATACTCTCTTAATTTTTCCTAGAACAATTTTTAAAAATAATCTAGTTATCAGACCATTGCTATACTCTAACCTGTACTAAAAATTTTAAATACTTTGGTGTGGTGCACGAATTTCTTCTTCCACCAAGATCTCCCGATTAATTGTCACAGGAAAATTGACACATGCTGTTATACATCCAATCAGTTTAATATTTACTTTTTTGTTTATAAATAAACCCTAAGCCCTTACCTAAAACTATAGAAGTCTATCTAAAAATAAATGATATTAGTATCACAAGATAAGTATGATACTTTTGTACTTGTCATAAAACTTAGTGTCACTGAGCCCCAAGTTTAAGCCATTTTCCAATAAGGTATCAATCTGCCCCGACGTGAGTTTAAATATTGTTCTGAACCCCCGTATGGTTAAACCATAAGAACCATTTCCAGGTGAGTAATTGTTGATCTCAATTGGTTCACCCCTATTGGGTAAAATCCGGTAATTTCCGGGTTTATTTCCTGCAAATATGATCAGGTTCCTGATATATTTTTCACTGATATTATCAGTATCCACATGAAACACGTGTTTGGGTCTCTCGTTGTTGTTGTTGTTGATGATGCTACTGGAGGTAATCGCAGTCTTGTCATTGAAGATAGTGGCCTTTCGCTTTGATTTTTTCAAAGTTTTAGGTTTTTCCACCTCCATACTTTCCATTTTGTGAACAGTATTGTAGTGTTTTTTTCTTGCAATATAATTGGTAAAGCCAGCATCACATTCAGTACACTGACATGCCTTGGGAGGCGGAGGTTGTTTAGGTAAAGGTTGTTTGCCCGCTGGTGCGCCTGGTTTTTTTCCTCCTTGGAGTTTCCCCTTGCAAGGTCGTTTCTTTCTTTTCTTTTTAGAAGAGCCTGGGTTTGGCTGAGAAGTAAGAACTTGTCATTTAGAGTTACTAAAACAGATCGAAGAAGCCCTTCCTATCCACTTGGAGAAGAGTTCTTTGACTTGATCCAACTGCTCAGTTGGTCCAGAGTATTTGAATATAGTACCATAGGGAAGACTTATCTCTACAGTAATATTCACCATAGTTAAAGGTTTAAAAGCAAAACTTCACTTCTCGTTGTTTTTTGAAAAAATCCCTTTTAAGGAAATTATTTAGCAAAAATGTGGTTAACAGGAAAGAGTTTTTTTTTCTGATTTGGTGTCTTAATAAAATACTGATATTTTATTAAATATATTTTGGTTACAAAGATTTATTGGAAAATCTTTGCTATACCTTGAAATATTTGAGAAAGATTATCTTTGAAACAATGGACTGTTTTATATAATCTCTAAATTTCTTTTAAAAACTATTACTCAGATATGGATCAAACTAATTTTGATCACAGTATCAATTTTATGAATATTATATTTAGACTATATTGCTAGCAAATTCCTATTAAATCTTTTAAGACATTATTATTATTTTTTTTTTTAAGATGAAAGGTATTAGATATATTGGTTTTTATTGAGTTATTTATATTCAACAAATTATATATTATATCAAAGATTCATTTAAATTAAATCATTTCTATCATCTATTTAATCCAACTATATGAACTTACCACTATAGAAGTGTGATTCACATACTAGATAAAAAGTTCTGCCACCAGTTTAAACTCAATCTTTCTATTAAGTTCTAATTCAGCAACCTTATAACTGCTTGCTATTGAAGATCTTATACCTTGCAAGATTGATTAGAATACTTGAATAACTCAAATACTTTTCATCTAGTTTTTCAGAAAAGATACTTATACTTCTTATTACCATCTGCGGCTTCAGATTTCCTTTAGGAATTCTTTTCTTTTAAGCAAGAGTCAAATTAAAATAGCCCTAGGCTAAAGTATTCTTTATGTAATGAAGTCTGCCATGCCAGAAGAAATGAGTTTTTAGGCTTTTATCAGAATTAGATCAAAAGTCTTTCCTTATACAACCTTTCTTACTGCGATCTGTTTTCAGCCCACAATCATCAGAAAGATCAGAAATTCTATTTTTATATAGCCTAACTGGATTTGGTCATGATCCAGATTATACATGTGGTGGAATTGAATTCGGACATTTTTCAAAAACCGTATTATGGTAGAATTACTAAGTAACATATAGTAAATAATTGGAATTCGTATTTAATTCGGAATCGTATTGTCGATCAAATTTCCTTTTATGGTAATACGACCACATGTATGATCCAGATGTCTGAGTATGACATTTGATTATAATCTGAATATCTGGATATGATATTTGTGGCAATTCGATAAACTCATAAATAAAGGTAATTTTTTATGCATTTTGCCTCCTGTGGGTATTGAACTAAGGATATGTATTTGGAGACTAAGGAGCACTATCCACTGTACTATTGATCCATTAGTCTTCTTTTAAGGTATTATTATATATATATATTTATAGTTAATTTATCTATATATGATTAGCTATATATCATCTAACTTAATGCTATATATAGTTACTACCTAAACTTCTGTTTTTAACTAGATATATGAATCTGTTTTAATTTTTTTCAGAATAATTTTTATTATTAAGAGTATTCTATTTATTAAACTATTGATTATAATATCTTAAACTCTAATTTTCAGTTCTTCAAAATAATCCATAATTTTTATTTTCTATCAAGACCTCCCAATATTAAAGTTTATAAAAACTGGTACAACTAAATATTTAATTAGTATCCTTCAATACAATCTTTAGAAATTCTTCAAAAGTATTTTACCAGTTTGGAATTTATTCTTCTTATTACCTTTTTTTGATAATATAATTATATATATTAAAAATAATTCTAATTAATTTTAAACATTCAATTATATTACAATCTTATTTTAAACCAGTTTTTTCTATAATTGGAAATATTAATTATTATATAATTAAGTTAATGGTCTATAGGTTTTCACAATTTTTCAGGAAAATTATATTAATTTCTTAGTGAAATTAAACTTATAATTTGTAATATTGACTTATGATGCTCTAACTACTAAGCTATAGATCCATAAGTTAAAAATATAATTTTATAATATGAATAATTCTATATAAATATTTTTTTTATTTAATAAAATCTAAATTAATTATCAATTAAAAAAATAATAATTTCAAGTTATAACTTGAAAAAGAAATTATTAATAAAAAATTAATATTATTTTTAATTAAATTAACTTTTTTAAATATTTTCTTTTTGATTATATTTAATTTAATTTTAGTATCTTTTTTTAAATTTTTTAAAAATATATTATTAGGATATATATAAAAACTTTAAGAAATAATTTGAATTCTTTTTTCTTGTATAATGTGGAACACTTTAAATTAACAAGTATAAATTTAAGTAATCAAATCTAAGGCAAATAAATTGTGTAATAATCAATCAATTATATTTAATAAAATCGACAAAGCAAACATATAATTTGATATACTTTTTATAACTAATTCTTTTATAAGTTGAATGTCATGACAATATATATAATGTAGTACAAATTTAATCTGTTTTTTCTTGGTTGCCATCTGTGCTTTGACTTAGGGTGGTATAAATAGTTGCTGCCATATTTCATGATCTGTGTTAAGAAACATATAAATAATATAGAATAATATTACTATATATTAAAAATGCCACAATTATCTAAGAGAGTTTTACAACTAAAGAAAAGTCGAGAGATCAGAAAAGCCAAACACCAATATAATACAAATAACGAAGCAGATAATGAAGTAGATAATGAAGTAGATAATGAAGCAAGTGACGAAGCAAATAATTTCTTTAAAAGACTGCTACAAATAGTTCCAGAAGTAAGTACTCATTGATCACTTATATCTATTGAGAATTCAAAAAGATCAAAGAGATGTCAAAGACAAATACAATGGAAAGTTGCAGTTGAAACATCTAAATTAAAATTATTTTGATCAAAAGTAAGTTTTTTTTATTTAATTTATTGTTATATAAATTACAACAAATTTAAACTTATTTTAATTATAATAGATAATTATAAATATGGATATATTCAATTTAGATAATTCTTCTGAAAATGAAATCAAAATAGAATTCGATTTAGAAACTAAAGGTTGTATAGATTTGAAAGATATTATCAAATGGCTAGAAAGTAAGATTAAAAGTAATAGTCATAATAATATAAAAAATACTTGCTTTAATATGATATTATTTTATCTTTGTCTTGTGAATTGTGGCAAAAGAAAAATTAAAGCCAGTAAGTATTATTATAGCTAAAGCTACTGGAAAGAATATTTATTGTTCTCGTTTTATATAAGCATGGATATCAAATTATATTTGAAATGGTGTTTTTCCAGTATCAAGACAAGAAAAACATCTAAAGACATGGAATTTTTATGGGATGATGATATCTTATTGCAGATCAAATTTTTTTTTCAATTAAACAAATAAAATATTTCTTTTAAAGATTTGACAAATTATATAAATAAGAAAATACTTTCTAAAGTTTGCTTCGATTTATTATCAATAATAAATATAAGAACAACTTATAGATGGATGAAAGAGTTTGGATTTGAATATTTGAAAGTTAAAAAGGAAATATATATGGACAATTATGAGTGAGTAGATATTTTAGCTTACTGAAAAATTTTTTTGAAGAGAATAGTGAATTATGAAAAAAGAATAATAAGTTTTTTAGATGAAAATATGGAAATAGAAATCTAATCAAATATTAATCAAGTTATAATTTTAGTAATATATAACAAATATATTTTTTTTGCATATGATGGAAGATATCAATTATGGAAATCAAAAAGGGAACAGTCACTTCGTAAGAAAGGTCAAGAATGATCTATTCATGTAAGTGATTTTTTTATCAATATAGCTAAACATTTAGCATTATATAAAAAAGACAAGGTATAAAAGTTTTATTTACTTCGATTTATCTTTTTTATAGTAAGATATACTAATTAATGTTTTTTTAGGATATTTTTTTCAATATTCCAATAGAAGCATATATTATAATATATCCAGGAAAAAATGGTGATGGATGATGGAATTTTGATAATCTTGTAAAGTAAGTGGTGAAACATACAATTCTAATATTTGAAGCTCATTTTTCAAATGCAAAGGCTCTTTTCGTATTTGATAATGTCACTAATTATGCTGTATATACAAATAATATTCTTTTAGCAAGAAATATGAATTTGTCATCTGGTGAAAAATAGGCAAAAATAAGGTTTGTATAAATTAAAATTTTTTATTTTTTATTTAATATTGATTATATTTTATATAAAATATACAGAAATATATATGAAAATAGCATTAGACAAGACATATGTTTTCTTATGGATTATAAAATTCTTGAATTGCATGGTAAACCAAAAGGTTTAAAAGAAATTCTAAGAGAAAGAAACTTATAATATAATGAAATGAAATTGAAATGTAAAAAAAAGTGTAAGAAAAAAATATTAATTGTTACATAAGAACAACAATAGCAAACCAATCAGATTTTAAGATACAATATGGAAAAATTGACGAAATAATTATTTTTGCAGGTCATAAAATTATATTTTATTTGAAATTTCATTATGAGTTAAATTACATTGTAAATTTTTGAGGATCTGCAAAACAATATTCACAAAGCCATTGTAATTATACTTGGAAAGATTTAAAAAGAACAGTACCACAAGCTCTTATATCAGTATCGTTGAGTAAAATTAGATGATATTTCTGAAAATCCTTTAGATATATGGATCATATATATAATTGTATTATCATAAAAGAAAATTTGATCAATAATACAATTTCAAATTAAATATGAATTCCAATTATTTACTATATGTTACTTAGTAATTCTATTATAATATGGTTTTTAAAAAATGGTTAAATTCAATTCCACTACATATATAATATATGAATATATAGTAAAGGGTTAACTGGAGAAGTTGCTGAATATATAGTAAAAAATATCAATTGTATCATCATATTCTAAATTCAATCTTAATTAATATAAATATAACAAGAAATTAATATTATATATATAGCTTTACAATGAAATAATAATCTTAAAATAAAATAAAGTTACTTAAAATGATATTATATAAATATATAATATTTATTTTAATAGTATTAGGGATAGAATTTTTTGATTGTGATTGCAATAATATAATTTTGCATTGTGAGACCTGATAGTGATAAATGGATATAATAGTGTAATGATGATAGAGGAGGAAAAGAAATCAAGATATATATAAATAAAGGAATATAATAATAATAGAGAAGAAAAGGAAACTAAAGTATATATAAAGTTATGATATATCAATAAAAAAATATTTTACCAAATTATAAACCATCTTTCACCTTACCTTTTATATTCTTTTTTAGTGTTAGATTGACTATAGTGATATAGGCTCACTGATCAACACTAACAATAGAAACTAGAGCTCTGAAAAGTACCGAACTAGTATCAAAGTAGTATCGAAATGGTACCGATCTATAGTAAATTTAATATATGGATTGTGATCTATTCATATAAATTTATAGTAAATTTAAGTATCGAATTGGTATCAAACAGGTATCAAAGTGATACCGTTAGGAGTCTTAATAAAAATCAACTAATAAATAAAATTAATGATTTTAAAATTTTAAAGCAAAGGTAACTTTTATAAATTAGATTTGTTTAAAACTAAGAGAAATAACAAATATTTAGTTACTAACTTACAATAATAGTTGTTGAAAGACAGTAATACTTACCCTTCTCGAAATCCATCAATTGATATTACTGAAGTATTACATCATTACTGTTACAATTTATTCATTTTGAAAACAAAAATTATTAAAAAAATTTAATATTTTGTAGTTTTTTTTTGATCAATTACAAGTATATATTTCAAATCACATGATTTGGAGGTTGGTCAAATTCTTATTTTTACTAATAATAATTAATAAAAATGATTGACTTTTAAAAGTATTTAACTCTATCAAATTTTAAAAAATCAATAAATGGTTTTATAAATTTGTTCTTTTTATTTTTTTATACATTTTTATAAAAAAAAATTTGCAAATATTTTAATATTTTGTTTTAATAAAGAATTTTTTGAATTTGTTTTTTTATTTGTTGGTTTAAGATGTCCTGTATTGTATAATCAAAATTTTTTCTTTTTATAACTATCTTTAGAAACCTTAATTGGTTATAGATAGGGATGCCAGCTTAATAGGACTTTAATATCTCTTTAATCTTTGGTTTTTCCAATAATTAACAAGTATATGACACTAGTATAATTAATTGAAAGAATAAGAATAATAAAAATAATAATTAATAATTAATCAATTTCTTTACAATATAAGCATATTATATAAAGAATTTTTTTTTTACATTGAATTTAAAATCAAATTATTATAGAGTATATTAAAACTCCTCTATAATCACTTTTATTTAAAAAAATCTCTTAAGTAATGAACGTGTGATTATAAACTGTATAATAATTTATATTCCTCTTTTTTAAATGGGATACATTAAAGAAACTTGCAATGGCGTGATGTGATGATTTGTAGAACATTCTAGTGGTTTATTGGCGTGGGTAAACATTTTGTAAAAAAAATATTAAATATTCTTGTATATTCTAGAAAGTCATGAAAAAAACGTATAAATACATCTGCCCTCTCCGAGCTGAAAAAGCCAATAAACGAAATCAAAGCTATTCTTATCAAAACTACTTCTTTCAAAACTACATTCTCCTCATTATAAAACAATTTATCGAATTTAACATATTCAGTATAAAATGTCGTTGTTTTGGCCTTCGGATTCTGAATTTGGTCGATTTGAGAATTCCGTTTCTAATTTATTCGATGACTTCTTCAATGATCTCAGCATAGCTAGACGTACCGGCAATTTAACCAGTAAAGGCAATCGAAATTATAACAGATCTTGGGCACCTCCTCTTGATGTTCACGAAACCGAAAAAGAATTCATCGTTAATGCCGAGTTACCTGTAAGCATTTAAAGCATCATATTCTCGAAATTAAATTCACAATATTTTCTAAATAAATATATATTATTCTAAATTAGGGTGTCAGTAAAGATCAAATAAATGTCGATGTTCGTGACAAAGCTCTTGTGATTTCGGGTGAAACCAAGCAAGATCAAAAGTATAAAGAAGGAAATACACATATTCAAGAACGTCGTTATGGCTCTTTTTCTCGTACTATTTCCCTTCCGCAGAATGCCAAGTCTGATGAAATTACAGCAAAATTTGATCAAGGCATTCTCGAGGTAAAAATTCCAAAAGGAGAAACACCTGGTAGCAAGAAAATCACTGTTCAGTAGATGATAAATTAGCATTTGATTATATATATGATTTTTCTTTTTTCGTTTTTTATACAAATTACGGAGAAAATGTAAATTTAATTGGTTTTTTCGTTTTTTATACAAATTACGGAGAAAATGTAAATTTAATCGGTTTTTATTATAAGATAAACAAATAAAATAATTATTTCAGTTATACTACAATTGTGATCAAAGTTATACAAAATTAAAATTTAACCGATTTAAAAAATCTTAATATTTACAATAAATTTATTTAAACAAAAAAAATTTTTTTTTTTTTTAATCAGGCTGCAAGCTGTAATTGTTTATTAATTTTATTTTATTTTATTTTATTTTATTTTTTATACGATTGTTTATTAATTTTATATAATCAAGAATACAATAATACAAAGGGTACATATTATTGTGAACACTTTTTATTATACAATAAAAAAATTTTTTAATAAAAAAAATTAAATTTATTATAACAAAATTAAATTTATATAATATAAAGCATATTATATTTAAATTTCAAGTAATTATAATAATTTATTCAAAATCTATGATAAAAAACTTTAAAGATATAAATTTTATTATCAAATTGAAAATCAAAAAATTATTATTTATTTATTTATTTATTTATTTATTTTTTTATTTAATAAAAATATAAATAAAAATATATTAATTTGTATTATTATTTTTCTTAATTTTTTTAAATAAAAAAATTGTTTTTATCTTTTTTTAACTAAAAAAATAAAAATCAAATTTAATGAGCAATGAAAAAGATTTGATTATTATACAAAAAGAAGTTATTATTTATGATTATCTTAGAGAAGATTTATATTATATTATTATTATTGTTGTTGGCTGTAAAAAGTTTTTTGTAGAAAATATTATAGGTAAATATTATAAGATAGAAATCATTAAATTATAAAAAAAACATTTTAGATATTTGCTACTCCTAAAGATCCTAATGATTCGATTCAATTTGAATTTGAAATAAAATTGGAATTGAATTGAAATTTCAATTTGATTTTATTTTTGAATTGATTTTTATATATTTTAAAATTGAATCAAATAAAATTAATTCAATTTGATTTGATTTGATTTTGATTCTATTCAATTCTATTTGATTTCATTCGATTTGATTTAATTCTATTTGATTCGATTTCATTTGATTTGATTTGATTCCATTTGATTTATTTCCATTTGATTCGATTTGATTCAATTCTATTTGATTCAATTCAATTTTCTATTCAATTCGATTCGATTCCATTCGATTCAATTCCATTTGATTCCATTTGTTTTGATTCTATTTAATTTAGTTTGATTCAATTTGATTCAATTCAATTCAATTTGATTTAATTTGATTTGATTTGATTCTATTTGATTTCATTTAATTTAATTTGATTCTATTTGATTTGATTTGATTTGATTTAATTTAATTTCATTTTATTTTATTTCATTTATTCAACTTAATTCAATTCAATCCAATTTAATTTAATTTAATTTAATTTAATTTAATTTAATACAATTTACTTTATTTAATTTAATTTTATTAAATTTTTATATATTAATATATGTTATTTTTATTTTATAAAATATAATTAAAACAAAAAACTATTAGTTAAAAGATATTTAAAATTAGATTTAATCTAAAAAATTATATATTAATATTTTTAGAATATACAAAATTAAAACAATTATAAGGTTAATAAGGTTAAAAAAAAAAGTAATAATAATTTATTTAATAAAAATTAAAATATGTTATTGATAAATTCAAAAGTTTAATTTTACAATTTTAAAAAAAATTAGAAATATTTTTATATATAGTATATAATATTGATATAATAATTTAATATATAATAAATATTAATTATAATAATAAAATATAATTGTATTTTATTTTTAATTAATTA